TTCTCTATTACATTCCTCCTAGACAAAACGAGTAACAAATCCTGAATATCACTTCTTGGGCCTGAAATTCAGCTTTTTTTTCCGACCCCTAACATCTGATTACAGTAATATAGAAAGGGGAACTTACATGTAAACACAATCTTAGTGTGAACTCTCTTCACAGCCTTTGTACACGTACGTGAGCTGGGCCGGGGCGGTGCGTACATGAGCTCGGCCTGAGCTGAGCAAGCTGGGGCGGTGCGGGCCTGAGCTGAGCTGGGGCGGTGCGGGCCTGAGCTGAGCTGGGGCGGTGCGGGCCTGAGCTGGGGCGGTGCTGAGCTGGGGCGGTGCGGGCCTGAGCTGAGCTGGGGCGGTGCGGGCCTGAGCTGAGCTGGGGCGGTGCGGGCCTGAGCTAAGCTGGGCTGTGCGGACCTGGGCTGGATTGTACAATACATGTACATACATTGGCTCCACAGTTCAAACAAAACAGTGTGGACAGCTGGGGGTAAACGCATCCTAACATGAAGTGGTGCATTTATAGGCTTGCCCACAAACAGTCCGTCCTCCATCTTGCACAATGTGCTCTTTATCACTAATTCCCTCTTGTCTGTCACAGAAGGACATCTCTCCTTCTTCCGGGAGATGTCATTACAGTCTTCATTGACGTTTTGGTGAGGGTGGAGGTCTCTGCACATTCCATACAGGCCGACCTCTTGGGAGGAGTTCTGCAAATATCATGGGTGGATGTCATTCTGGAGGAGTGGGTGTTCCTAGGCAGACTGAATTTGCATCTGGACGGCCCTAGGTAACGCCCACATGTGATGCTGAGCCTCCATGATTGAAAGAATGAAATCCAATTAATGAAAGGGACGAGCCAGGATCTGTCAGGTTAGTGAGGAAAGGATTAGATGGTACTGGAGCCTCCAGCCAGGAAATGAGATGGGCTCTGTGAGTTGCTGCAGCTTCTAATGCACATTGTGAGAAGCGCGCAGTGTGCGGTGAAATCGGAGTAAGCCATTTCAGTCCAGGAGAGTAGGTTCTCTGGTGCCTTGGCGGTGCTGACATGGGACTGAATGTATTGCTCAGCGGTGGTTCCCCTTTTTTTCTGCAGTGGTTCTGCATTCCTGATGTGTATTCCACACGCACGCAGAAAATACAAAGGAATACTTCTCATTTTCTGCAGAATGTATATATTGTGCAATATAACAAAAATAGCACTTGTACTTTTCCTTGTGTTCTGGCTGCGGGTGAAGTTATATAACAGTCCCATTGTTTGCCGGTGCCTGGCATGGTGTCTGTATACACTTTGTGCATTCCTCCAGGGTGTTGTGTACTCGGAGGACTCTGCGTCTTGTTTTTAAATCACACGTGGGACCTTTTTATATTTTTAGTCCTCAGAACCTGTATGAATCCTCTGCCGTTTATATAGAGGATGTTTGCTGCTGTTCTGATCAGATATCTAGTTGCGGCTTTGTGCTGTGGAGACTCCTAGTGGGTGTGAACGCATTCCGTGCAATCTGTGGGAGAATTCCTCCCCATCATAAACCTACGTGCCAACGTTTATACACAACGCAGTGACTTCAGGTCACCCGATAATCTTTGTAGGGGAAAAAAGCATTTTGTTTTCATGTGAAAATCTGCTATATACAGCACAAGTGTGTGTTATAATATTTTATAGTAGGGAGGCACCGTTACAGGTTTTTCGGTATCGAGTACTGATATTTTTTTTTCAGGTACTCGCTGATGCTGGAAGTCCTATTAACCCCTTCATGACTGAGGCCCTTTTTTCATTTTTTGCACCCATGTTAAGGGTGGCGTGTAATGATTCGCCGCCCCGGCTTCCCGATTAGCCGGTAAGCTGTCGCCATGCTCCCTCCTCACCAGGTAGCCAGGGGGCGGGTAATGACTTGCTGCCCGACTTCCTGATTAGCCAGCTTCCCGACCATTCAGGAAGCTGGACAGCGAGTCATTACACGCCGCCCGGCTTCCTGATTGGCAGGGAAGCTGGACCCATGCTCCCTTGTCACCAAATGACAAGGGAGCATGGAGCTAGCCTCTCGGAAAGCCGGGGGGGCAAGTCATTACCCGCCCACCGGCTTCCTGATTGGCCAGGAAGCCACTCCATGCTCCCTGATGACGAGGGTGCATGGAGCTGGCCTCCCAGACAATCGGGAAGCTGTGCAGCGTGTAATGACTCACCGCCTGGCTCCCTGATACCAGAAGGTCTGGTATTAGGATAGGCATCGGGAGCAATTGGACAAGTACTAGTGTTGGTGCATCCCTAATAATAAAAATATATATAGATACCGTATATACTCGAGTATAAGCCGTACCGAATATAAGCCGAGGTACCTAATTTTACCAAATAACTATAATATATTGTGTGCGTACCTACCAGAGCTTGCATCACCACATTGCAGGAGTCACTGGACCACCAGACACCTATGAAGCTGTGCCCATCCAGGTCTGGTGTTTGCGGTGTCCCCTCTTGGGGTCCCGCACAGGGAGTGGTGTTCGCCTCCGATGCTCTGTATTCTGTGGAGTGGAGCAGTCCAATTCACCACCTTGGAGCGTCTCTCTCCTGAAGATGCGCTTTTTGGCAAAACACGTCGAGACATTTGCAGAAGCACGCCACCCTTAAATTCTTTGTGCAACCATCTAACTCAATATTTGGATGAAATCGGAGGACTTGCATCCACATTTGGGAGCACTACCCATTGCATTACTGCCTGGAATTTAAGACAGTGGCACCTTCTTTGAGACTTTTTTTTTTTTGAAGGCCTGGCTATGTTGGTTGTCTTTTATGGTTTTACCGTACATGTGTATATATACTGATATTCTTAATGCACTTTAAGAAATGACTCATGTAAGATTCTCATTGGTGCACCCAGAAAGCCCAGTTTATTTATGCAGATTTGCCAGTTAATACTTCCGGGTGTATCGGATGCCTGCTCCCCCTTCCCCGCTGTGTGTCATGGTTCCCCTGCGCCAGCCTCCAAGTGACTTCAGAGGAAATGTGACTGCTACTAAAACTGATAAACACAGGCACAGGAAGCCTTGGTTCAGCGGTGGGCAACCTCTGCACTCCAGATGTTGTGGAACTACAAGTCCCGTGAGGCATTGCAGGAGTGGCAGCAATAGGCATGACTCCCAGAGGCCTAAACAATGATGGGATTTGTAGTTCCACCACAGTGGGCATACTGAGGTTGCATACCCCTGTGTGTAAGTCTGATGCTCCCTGGGTGTGTGATTGTTTCTTTATAGTAATCCATGTGGGCCGGGTTATAGAAGAGAGAGCAGTGAATAGGTGTAGTCGGGTTCATTACAAACTCTTCCATAACCTCGTGACTGCTTGCTTTGTTGTTGTCGTTTTTTTCTGAAATCCGCTCCGTGTACAGAAGGAGATCAGGAGCAAAACAATTATAATCTGTCCTACTATTGTGTCTGTCTGTAGGCACTCTAATGCCATTTTTATCAGAGATTTATTGGAAAAGTAGCTCATGGGGTACATTGCAGGTGATGATCTTCTCAATGTATGCCTAACTGTGTAGTAGCATTATCGCTCCCTTTCTATGAAGCTGGACATATGCAACTCAAAGTTCAGTCTATTGTTTTTCAATGAGCTGAAATTTGAGCCGAGCGGGTGACACTGTTGGCAACAACCAGCGTGACAAATTTCCATTACAGAACTAAAGGAGCTGGGTGAAATATGGTTGGCTGGACTGTGACTTCATCCAATTCCCTGCAGTCAAAATGGGGGATTCCATCATAAGGCCCCATTCACACCGGAAGCACCAGCACGATTTTTGAAAGGGCGTTTTGGGGCGTCTTTAATCACGTTTCAGCGCTGAAACGCAATTAAAAACGGCCAAAAATGCACCTATCAGCGCGTTTCCATTGAAATCTATATGGGAAAATGCACTGAACAGCACGAAAAAAAATAGCCCAGGCAGCATTCTGGGCAGCGGGCGGTTCGGATTGCGCATAGGAATATATGGGATTCATGTCGGCGGTTCAGGGCAGACAAATCCGTGCGACCGAGCTGCCCTGTGGTGAACGGGGCCTAAATGTTGTTTAATGTGCATGGGCGAATTGAGTCATTTGTAGATGAAAATCTAGCCATGTATGAATGAGATACAGTGACCCTAAACTCAGGAGTTAAATCTTAAAAAATACGTTCAAGTATTTTATTTATTAACAAAAATGTATCTTATTTGTGTATCGGCTGTAGATCCTCCAATCATCTCTGAATTGGTGCTGACACTGTCCTTCCTTCTGCAGGGTGGCGACTTTTGTTCCCCATGGGTCCTGTTAGGGATGAGCCAATACTGGTTTTTCGTTATCGAGTACCAATATTTGTTTTTCGGTACTCGCCAATACCGATACCCGAAGTCCCATTAAGAAAGCCGGGCGGCATGTAATAACACGCCACCCGGCTTCCCAATTAGCCGGGAAGCTGGGCGGCGTGTAAAGAATCACCACCCGGCTTCCCAATTAGAAGTGAAGCCATCTCTATGCTTTTCGTCACTAGGTGATGAGAAAGCATGGAGCCGGATTTCTGGGCAATCAGAAAGCCGGGCGCCGTATAATGACTGATGACCTGTGACGCCGTATAATGACCTGATTGGCTGGGAAGCTGGCTCCATGCTCCCTCGTGACGAGGGAGCATGGAGCTGGCCAATCAGGAAGCTGGGCAGCATGTAATGACTCGCTGCCCAGCTTCCTGATACCGGAAGCTGAAGTATCGGGCCAGGCATTGGACCATTTGGGCGAGTACTTGGCATTGGCACCGATACTAGTATCGGCGCATCCCTGCACCCGAGTGATACACAAATAAGAGACATTTTTGCTAATGGTTAAGGTACTTGAATGTAATTTTTAGGATTGAACTCCTGAGTTTAGTGTTACTTTAGTGATCTGATAGAACATCCCATTGTTTCGAAGTATATTTTATAGCTTTATGCCTAATGACAAACATTTTAGATATCGGTCTTGTATTGAACCTGCATTTTGTTTTCCAGGTGTTTACTGACGGCATAACCAATAAACTGATCGGTTGCTATGTTGGCGACATGATGGACGATGTAGTCCTGGTGAGGATCTATGGGAATAAAACGGAGCTGCTCGTGGACCGTGATGAGGAGCTGAAGAGTTTTCGGGTACTGCAGTCTCACGGCTGTGCTCCCCGACTGTACTGCACCTTCAACAATGGGCTCTGCTATGAGTTCATGGAAGGGGCTGCCTTGGATCCCGAACACGTCTGTAATCCTAGCATTTTCAGGTATGGAATTTAAACCTGATACAGGTTTCTCTTTTGTTTAGTGTTTATAAACCATCAGTAAATGTCCATGGATACTGGGAGTGTACTCTCTGTTTAAGAGTTGTTTGTCATTGCAAACATTGCATGCGGCTACAGTCACATGGTTGATGGGATCACTTGTCAAAGCGTGCACAGAGAAAAGAAAAAAAAAGTGGATGTGTGCAAATTCAACTGAATGTTTCTCATATCCTGCCCCATCTGCTCTGTGCAGCAGCCTGTTTACTTACTCTGTGCTCTGGATAAACACGGCCAGGCCGGCATACCTCGGCCTCTGACGGTAGTACGTTCATCCATGCCTTCCTGTTCATTTCCATCTCTGCTGCGTCTGTGGCTTCTTCTTGAAGGTGACAGAGTTAAACCTATACACGTAATGCATCCAATGCTTACGCAGGGAAATGAGCTCCTAAGAAGATTCTGGTGACTTGTAATGCCGCGGTTTAGAGCGTCAGTGAGTGATCAGTGCACAGCGCAGGTATTGCAGCACGGCTAGAAACGGAGTACGTGGAATCAGACATTGATCTCCCGATTATCTGCTGAGGCCCCGTTTGTGGGGTGTTCTAGTTTTTATTGATGTGAAGACAACTGGATAAGAACCTATGACGGTGGCTAGCTTTCAATAAAATGAAGGAATACGAATATGAAGGGTATTAAAGGTCTCATGTACCACTGCCGCGCTATTCCTTTAAACATTTCTACATACTTTATTAATTTACATAAAACATGATTTGCGGAAAACGAAAGGAAAGCTTAAACATTAAAAACAGTTGCTTAGCCTTGACCGGACAACGCCTTGTAACCATACGATTGTTAGTAACGTCATGAATATAAATTTGAATAAATATGTGAGGGATCCTCGGGTCACGGCCATGATCCAAGTCAGTAGATGATCATAAATTCGGCACAAAATAATATCCTGATGGTTTCATTTTCTATGCGTTTAGCACATAACGGCTTACTCAGGAGGGAGGTGCTCTGGAGAGATGGTCTAAGGTCTAAGGAGAGGATGAAGAAGCAGCAGTATAAAAGCACATATAAATGCTGCACGGGTAGGAACATGTAGGAAGGGCAGGTTCGTTAGCACTTGTAGCCGGATGGATATCGGGACTAGATGTGCGCCGCCTCTAATGTTCCCTGTCGTTTGTAGCGTTGAAGGAGAGGATGAAGGAGCAACAGTATAAAAGCACATAAAATTGCTGCAGTGGTAGGGACATGTAGGAAGAGCAGGTCTGTGGGCACTTGTAGCCGAATGGGTATCGGGACTAGATGTGCGCCGTCACTAGTGTTCCCCGGCATTTGTATCATTTGAGGGAGGAGAAGAAGAAGCAGTATAAAAGCAGATAAAAATGCCGCAGGGGTAGGGACATGTAGAAAGGGCAGGTCTGGGCACTTGTAGCCGAATGGGTATCGGGACTAGATGTGCGCCGTCACTAGTGTTCCCCGGCATTTGTATCATTTGAGGGAGGAGAAGAAGAAGCAGTATAAAAGCAGATACAAATGCTGCAGGGGTGGGGACATGTAGGAAGGGCAGGTCTGTGGGCACTTGTAGCCGAATGGGTATCGGGACTAGATGTGCGCCGTGTGTAGTGTTGCTCAGCGTTTGTAGCATGGCCATGTTTAAGCTTTTCTTTTGTTTTCTGCAAATCAAGTTTTATGTAAATTGATAAAGTATGTACACATTTTAAACGACTAGCCTGGCTGTGGTAGATTATATTTTTAAAGCTCCATGTTCCTACTCATTTCTTTTCATATGTAGTAGGGGTATGGTATCAGTTGCTGCAGCTTAAATATGCCCATTACTGTGATGGAACCATAGTTCAGTAAAATAGTCACATGTTATATACAGCTTGGTAATTGTTTTCTTTTTTGTTGTTGTTCTAGACTCATAGCCCAACAGCTCGCTAAGATCCATGCCATTCACGCCCACAATGGCTGGATCCCAAAATCCAATTTGTGGTTTAAAATGAGGAAGTACTTCGCTCTTATTCCAACTGAATTCGAAGACTCCGTCATCAATGAAAGGTAATCTGATTAATAATGCATGTGTCTTCCACGTTAGAATAAACAGTGTTTGCTGCTGAGTATTGTTCACGCTGTTCCCTTTCGATGTGATTCACACCGTGAAAAAAACACTTATTACAAGCTACATGATTCTTTTGTCCGGGTCTACCCGATGGCTCAGTTCCACTATTATTCTTATTCAGGATTTATATAGCGCCAACAGTTTGAGAGTCGCTTTACAATAGAAGGAAGACATTACAGTTACAATACAAATCAAGGCAAGATGGTAAGGGGGGCCCTGCCCCTCAGGGCTTACACTCTAAAAGGGAGGTACAAGTGATGCATGAGGAGGTAGCTGTGTGGAGATTTGTTTAAGACATTGTACAGTGGTTAGCTTGAGGGGGGATAGACTTCCCTGAAGAGATGAGTGTTTAGGGATTACCTAAAGGCAGACCGAGTAGGAGATAGACTGACAGGTTTGGGTAAGGAGTTCCAGAGGATGGGAGACACGAGAGAGGTGCTAGGGGCAAGCATGGGAGGAGTTGATGAATGAGATAGAGAACCGGAGGTTTTGGGAGGGGACGGTTCGGGTGATACTTTGAGACAAGGTTTGAGATATAGCCGGTGGCAGAGTTTTGGATGGCTTTGTAAGTGGTTGTTTATATTTTGAATTTTATCCTTTGGGCTATTGGAAGCCAGTGCAGGGATTGACAGAGGGGGGTTGCAGACACTGAGCGGCTGGTTAGGTGGATGAGTCTAGCAGCTGCATTCATAGTGGACTGAAGGGGGGATAGCCTGTGTAGAGGTAGACCAATGAGGAGAGAGTTGCAATAGTTGAGATGAGAGATAACAAGTGAGTGGATGAGAAGCTTTGTGGTTTCATTGGTGAGGAAGGGGTGTATTTTGGACATGTTATGAAGGTGAAGGCGGCGGGATTTGGACAGTCATTGGATGTGGGACAGAAAAGTGAGGTCTGAGTCCAGGATGACACCTAGCATCTTGGAATGGATTGAGAGAGGGATAGTTGTGTTCTAAATCTCAATGGAAAAGGTGGGGAAGGAAATATAATGAGCTCACTAACATATTGCCTGTTTTTTCAACTCTTACTGCTGAAAATAATGAATATTATGTCAGATATTTAGTGTTTTTGATTGGTGAATTGAGGGTAAAGTGGCAATGTCTGTGTAATATTCTTGCCCTGAGAGCAATCCTCACCACCGCTTCTCTTGTAGTGCTAAAAACTAAAGCCAAAACACGTCATGGGTTCTCATGAAACAAAGTGTATTCATCCATCTTTTTTTTTTTTCTCAACATGGCAGGTTTGTTCGCGATGTTCCGAACCGGCAGGTCCTGCAGCAGGAGATGGCATGGATGAAGGACGTGCTGTCCAATTTGGGCTCTCCTGTGGTTCTGTGTCACAATGATCTACTGTGTAAGAACATAATCTACAATGAAAAGAGAGGTAGGTACTGGGAAAAAGTAAGTACTTTGCACCGGTATAGCTGTCAGCCGTCCACTCTTTAGCTACACTACACATTTTTCTTTCCTTGTGGCTCCCACTTCTGTTTCCTTTGGTAAGTAGGGAAAATTTCCTGCTGTTTATAGTGCGTGGTCATTTCATTGACGGTTTTCTTACCTGAAAGGTTGTAGTGGGGGAATGTTTTTTTTTAATTTTATTTTTTTATTCCTCTTCCTTTTTAATCTTTCTGTTGCTCCTCTGTACTAACGGGCCCCTCCTAAACCTTCATTAACCCCTCCCAAACTGCATTCTCATTTACTTTTTTGTGGGATTTATTCATAATATGCAGTTTCTGTTTTGTGGCCTTATGCAAAATGCAAATGCTAACTGCTGTGCTTCATTTATTTTATAGCTTGTGAACCGGTTAGTTTGAGCCACAATATAGGGTCAATGTACAGTTCAAGTAGGGTGATGAGCCATAGGGGTATCTGTGGGTATGAAGGCCATTCTAACCAAACAAGGCTCCGTCTGATTTCCTTCATTGTATTACCTTGATGCTGCTATCTAGTCCCGGAATCTGATTGCCGTCAGTTGGACACCATGTGCAATCAAAACTTAGAGGTGTGAGGAATAGGAGAGAAGGCCTTTACTTCCAAAATGTTTCCTGATCATTAGAGTATATTATAAACTTTATATAAAGAAATCTTGTCATTGGGGGCAGGACAATCTGATACAGAAATGAACAGGCACTTAAAGGTGCCTGCACATACCTGCAGCAACCTGTCAAACCTTCTCGCCATGGCATTTAGAGCAGTTCTGACATGCAGGTAGTGTTTGATCTAACCATTAAACCCTTCCCCACACATTTCTATTGACCCATCACTATTATAGATAAGTCTCACTGGCTTATAAAAATGTGCAGAAGGTTGGAAAGGGCATGATTTGGTCCTATCAAGGTTAGAAGCTTTGCCAGTCAGAACAGCTTGAGGGTCAGCTGTCAGGAAGGTTTTGGAGGCTGCTTTAAGTTCCTGCACTTTGTCCCCATTCCCCTTAGTACCAGTCTCTTCAAATGATCTTTATTATACCCCCATAAACCCAGAGCTCAGGGTGCAGAAGGCAGCTACATGCTGCAGGGTGCATTACTAGTTTGCCTCCTCCTACCCTTTTGTACGTTCCCTTTTGCTACCAGATGCAACATTAGGCCTCACTAAGCAATAGAAAAGGTGCGGAGGGTAGGAGGAGGTGTGCTACAAGCACATCCAGGAAGTTGTGGTTGTCGGTCATGCTGCAGGTTTTGGGGATGAGATCAATGAAGACCATCTAAAGAAGTGAGGTGCCCATTTTAATAATTGGGAGCCCTTGTGGGAGGTAGATACCACATTCTGGTTCTCTTTAAGATGGATATCTTTCGGAGCCTTTCTGGTTAGTATGTATAAGGGCAGAGGGGGATGGGTGTGTGCATGTTTCTCTCTCTTGGCTGCCATGTAGTTGGGCTGTAGACACTGCCCGGGAGAGAGAATACTAACATTTGTGATATTTTATATGAATAAATGTAACTTCTGCTCTTAAGTATAACAGAATTCTCCTTAGGAATTCAGGGATCAGTATCCAAGTGAACCTGTCACATGCCTAATTGTTTACCTTAAAGCAGTCTTTTCTTGTTTCCACATTTGGTTAAAAACAAAAAAAAAAACAATCCCTCATTAAACAATCGATACTGAAGGAAACTTGAAGGTTACGATTTCTGACAGCTCCTTCTGAAAACGCCTGTTGCCTCTTTATGCTGCACGGATGGTTCAAATGTTTAACTAAGATGCAGATCAGGAGTTTTGCTTTCTCTGATGCTGGGTTAGCAGTTACTGAAGACAGTCAGGCATCTAGTATTTTCAGATGGAGCTCAACAGTGGTAACTATGGATGCACCGATATAATTTTTTCGGTATCGATTACTAATATTTTTTTTTTTCGTTTACGGTACTTGTTGATACTGAATGCCAATACCGGAAGTCCCATTTAGGATGCCGGGCGACGTGTAATGACTCACCGCCTGACTTCCTGATTAGCGGGAACCTGCCTCCATGGTCATCAGGTGAGGTGGAAGCACGGAACTGGCTTTCTGGCCAATCGGGAAGTCGGGTGGGGCTGGGGGGGTTAATGACTCGCTGCCCAGCTTCCTAAATGGTCGGGGAGCTGGCCAATCAGGAAGCCAGGCGGCGAGTCATTACACAACGCCTGGATTCCTGATTGGCCTGGAAGCCGCTGGCTCCATGCTCGGTCACCGCTTCTCGGTGAATCAGGAAGCCGGGCTGCATGTAAAGACTCGCCGCCCGACTTCCCGATAAGTTCCTGTATTGGGAGCAAATACTCGGTATCGCCACCAATACTAGTATCAGTGCATCCCTAGTGGTAGCCTTTAAAAATTATCTCAGTACTGATTCTCTTAAAGCTAAATATCGTTTTGCTGGAACCTGCCATTTCTGACATGTAGGTTGGTCACCAGAACAGAGCAGACGAGCTGTGCTCCTTCTATGCATCGCAATTCTGCCTTGAGTACATAATAGAAGCAACCTTTCCTTGGCCAGTGATTACAAAAGCTGCTGCCTGTTACAGGCAACTCAGTTTACAAAGAATTTACTGTTGCATAACATGAGAATTGTAATCACAGAGAGGTGGTTGTAAGGTTGAGAGGTTGTAATCACAGAGAGGTGGCAATCACAGCCCTCACATCACACATGCTTATCCTTCAGTGACAGTCTCGCCTCTCTGTAATCTGCATACATGATTGGCCAGGGTTGGAGGTGGAGATCAGAACTTGGCTGATGACTTTTGAAAAAGTCAACATTTGCATATTAGTAACAGCGCTGTTTAGTCTGCTTGAGCTCCGTGTTGGATGGAACAGATTACAAAAGTATTACTATGTCCACAAACTTGGAAATAGAAAAGTTCACTTTAAGAGAACTGAACTCTGAGGCGAATTCTGATATTCTTAGAAATCTCCAGCAGAAGGTACATTATTCATTACAATAACAGTGTGTGGGGCTCATTGTGATGATGAACATGACTTGTCTTGGTGGGTGGGGTGTAATTTGTCAATCAATGATAGCTATCAGACTGATCAGAATCTATAGAAATCTCTGTCACACAAAAGTAGCTTAAAGGAAGTGTTGTAGGCGCTGCACAGTTGGCTGTATTATAGGGTGATATGTTATTACATGTATGTTACAGAATAATTTATATGGCCGCTCCCTGGGTCAGGACAGGAACTTCCTTGGTTTTAAAGTGGAATTTCTTTCTCTATTCAGTGTCTTAAATGTGTGCAGAAATCTTGCTTGGAAGTAATTGTCTATTCTACCTATTGTAAACAAGGCAAAGTATGGCAACGTTCACACACAAATCAACCCCTCAAAATGGCTATAATTGCTATATTTTTATATACGATATATTCGTATGCTATAGTAACATTGCTTTCTGGTGTCTAGTTACATTGTTAACTGTAGAAAGTGCAGGTTCAACGTTTCTTTTAATCCTTTCTGTATATTAAACCATGTGAAGAGTTTTTTGTGTATGAATTACAGAGCAGACACAGCTTTAGCATGGCAGCGCACCCCATACTACATGTTCCCTGTGTACATTGCAGCCTGGGATCAGGCACTCTGTACAGAGAGAAGCATTGACTCCTATGGCTTTAGTCTCCTGGCTGCTGCTGGAGGCAAGATTCATAGGACCAAATAAGATCAAAACCGGAGCAGACAGAATCTGAAGCATTTGCCCATTGTAACCAATCGGCTTCTCTCTTCAGTTTGTTCAGTTGAGCTTTGAAAATAAAAGCTGGTTGGTTGCCATGCACCGCTGCTCCAGTAGCAAACCTCCGGCCCTCCAGCTGTGGTGGAACTACAAATCCCATGAGGCATTGCAAGATTCTCACAGCCACAGACATGACTCCCGAAGAGCGATGCATCATGGGATTTGTAGTTTCACCACAGCTGGAGGGGGCTGGAGGTTTGCTACCCCTGCTTTAAACGGACGATTAGCATACAAGGCAAAAAAGTTGTTACTCATTTTTAATAAATTGTTTTAAAACATTTGCTTTCACACAGGCTGATCAGGAGGAGATCTGTGCACAGATCCCCTCCTGATCGGAGCAGTACGGGCTGGATGTCACTAGAGATGCACCAACACCATTTTTTCGGTTTCGAGTACCAATGTTTTTTTCTGGTACTCACCGATAACGGAAGCCCCATTAAGGAAGCCAGGCAGCGTGTAATGACTTGCCACCTGGCTTCCCGATTAGAAGTGAAGCCATCTCCATGCTCTCTCGTCACCAGGTGAGGAGGAAGCATTGAGCCGGCTTTCTGGCCAATCGGGAAGCCAGGCGGCATGTAATGACTCGCTGCTCGGCTTCCTGATCACAGAAGCTCCGGTATCGGGCTAGGCATCGGAGCATTTGGGCGAGTACGAGTATTCGCCCAAATACTCGGCATCGATACTGATACTAGTATCGGTGCATTCCTAGATGTCACCTCTGTGACATCTGTGTTTGTCCAGTGTTTCTTTTTTTTCCCCCTCCATTCTGCGAAGGAGGTGAACACTGAAATTACCGGACCCCATGTCAGTCTACGGGGAATTGGATGTAAATGGGCTATGTAAATGGATGTTTGTCTGTTTAAACACAGCTGCCCATAGACTAGCACTAGCCATCCGATCAGTTCTGCTTGAAAAACGTGACAGGCGGACCCGATCGGACCACCCGTGTGAAGGGGGCCTTAGTACTGCAAAGGGCTTTCATTAAAAGATTGATATCTATATCTAAAAATAAACCCTGCACATAACAGACTAGATGGGCAGCTATAGATCCATTATGTGTCATATGATTAGGTCATATCTAGTGATAAGGCAGCTTCTAGTTATGTTAGCAGAGACGTGGAAGAAGCTTGCGTTCAAAACTGTTTTCTCTGCTGTAACTTCTGATTAAACTTCCTCAAGGACATCAAACTAAGACGCCTGCAGAAGGAGAGGAATACTCGCCTATCCGGCGGTGGTATGTTGAATGTTTGCTGTCTTGCAACGTTCTAGGCACTGCAGCTATCCCTCCATTCTGGATGTATCTTATAGCGTTACCTCCTCTGGCTGCTGTAGTTTCTCCCGCTGACTCCTACGTCACTAACAGAGCATAGCAGTGGTAGAGGAGTTTGCAGGAGGAACTACAGCAGCCAGTGGGGGAACGCTAACTGACACATCCAGAAGTGTCCAGTAGCAGCGGCGCCTGGAGCTCTGCAAGAGAGCAAACATTGAATACACTGCCTGCCGGATAGGTAAGTTTTCCTCTGCTTTTGCAGGCAGTGTTAAGCTTTATCAGCTTTTATTTAGGGGCAGGGTCGCTTTAAATACACACATTTCACAGGCCGATAAGTTCTTAAGGCTGTGACACACTGCTCGTGGAGCGGTGGGACGCTGCCTTCGCGAGCAGTGTGTCATGTCATTTTCTCCCCGGCATGTCAGCTTGCGAGAGCTCGTGTAGCGTGCCGGGATCAAAAATTTCATCTTCAGCTAATCGGCTCGCGCATGTAGACTCGCGTCAGGATGCGACTTCTGGCCGGTTGTTACGCACGAGCCGATTGGTCAGTCATCTGCCTGCACTCAGCTCACACACTGCACGCAAAGCTCTGTGCCGGACAGCTTTGCTTGGCTCTGCGCGGCTTTGCGTGCAGTGCGTCACGGGCTTTAATGTCCTGTTTTTGTGTGTGTTTTGTTATTGCTACTCCTATTTTATACACATTTTCAAAACTAGAACATTGCATTCATTTAATAGGGTCCTAAACCTAAATTGATGTACTTAATGACGTGACGATTGCTCAATTCCACTTTAAAACTTCTGGAAAGAAAGGGGTAAAGATCCGAACTTTTAACCATGAAAGTTTTGTGTTGTAAAATGTGAGTGCCAAATTCTCTTCATCTGCCGCAGATTAGGTTTGCCATTGCCCGCTGCCCTGTGGCGGCGTTCTCCATGCTTCTTAAACGCAGTGACTGGCGGTTTGTCGATCACATGTTCACTTGTGCCTGCCACATGGGAGTGAACGCATCCTGGTAACGGCCTCATCAGTATCTTCTTAGATCTTTTTTATTTTATGTATTTATTTATATTTCCTTTTTGTTTGTAACCTTCATCTTTAACTCAGCACACAGTTTGTTTCCCTTCAAATGTTTTTATATGTTATGCCGTGCAGCAGTATATTCCTGTCAAATGACAAATTGCCAATGTTGTGTAAAATGACGAGTAGGAAAATGTAAACACGCTTTCTGCTCTGGGCTGACCTGTGAATTTTACCGTAAGCAGGCCATTAAAAAGAGGTCTGACAGCCAGACAGAAGTCCCAGAATGTCCTCTAGGGTCTGGCAGAGAGCATTATATGCCCAGAGTGCGCCATATCCACAGAGATTATTCTGCATACATAATTCATTGGCAACGACAGCACCGGATAAGAGTCTTAATGTCTCTGGGGGGAATGTATCAAAACTGGGGAAGACAAAATCTGGAGCAGTTGCCCATGGCAACCAATCGGCATCTCTCTTCAGTTTGAGGGATGATTTGAAAATGAAAGAGAGAAGCTGATTGGTTGCCATGCACAGCTGCTCCAGATTTTGTCTGCTCCAGTTTTGGTAAATTCCTTTTTGTCTATGTTTACTGGATAAAGTACAGAAGACTAAGAACGCTTAGTATGTAGGCATGGCTCTTAGACCTCCCCCAGCAAGAAATGCGTTACTACTGCAAATGATGTATGCACACACAAGGAACTTCCTCTGGTCTGAGAATGGCACTTAATAGTATATTATGAATACATAGAGTGTATGTATTTATCTACAGAATACGGCTTGGCTTGTATTGCCCCCCCC